CCAGTGGTAAAAAAGAGAAAAGTCCCTATTGCGTGGGGCTTATATTCTAGTGGGAACCTATATTCATAAGAAGGAAGCTTTCTGATCTGTCCCTCACCCTATTATCCACCCAGAGTACTCATGACCTTCAAATGGTCCTTGAGCTTTCTCTCTCTTGTTGTTAGTATCCATTTTATTGTACATCACACACACCACAATCCCAAGGCTTTTGCATTAGTGTGAGAGATAAGAGCCTGAACCAAGATTAGGGCTGAAGGTTTGGAGAAGTGGAAGGTGATTCAGAAGAGATGTAAAAGGTTGAAACAATGAAATACTATGCTTGATTGAATATAAGGAGTTAAGGGAAAGGAGGGAATTTAGGATGAATCCCCAAATGTCTGACTTAGATAGTTAGCGTTATGAAAATGCACCTACCTGCAAAGGGAATACTGGCCACTGGGGCCAGGGAGGAAAAAAGATGGTGACTTCAGTTTGAAAGTGTTCAGTATAAGAAGCTGTAGGAGGAATAGTGGGTGTCTTGTGTTAGCAAGTCCAAAAGGCAGTTGGGTTATATGGAGTTGGGACTAGAGAATGACTTGGTAGCCAGTGGCATATATATGATAGTATAAAACCTTGGGCACAGATTCAGTTAGTGGAGGAGATTTTATTTAGAAGAAAAGAGATCCAGTAGAGAACCCTAGAGAATACAACATAGAAGAGGCAGCAGAATAAGATGAGCTCGCAGAGTAGCCTAGGAAGAAATAACTAGTAGATCTAGAGAGCAGGACAAGACACCAGCTTGCTGTGGAACTCTCCATCAGTAAAGCAAATGTAGATAACTCAGTTAAAAACGGCAAACACTGTCATCGATCTCATAAAAACTGTTGACTTCAAAGGATCTTATTTTTATTAAAAATTATGATGATTTTTTAAGTTTAAGTTTAATTTTTTAAGTGGCCTGTGTATGCACTGAGTGCCATTTGGATACTAAGCCTTGATGAATCTTGAGACTTGACATCAAGAAGTCAGCAGATAACAGTGTCGGGGCACACAACATGGTTTCATTAGGTAGCTTGGCCTCAAAGATGTGTTAAGGGTGAACCAATGACCCATAAGCAGGGGTAGGATCCCAGAACACACTGGCACTCTCCTCTCAGTCCCTTGGAATCTGAAGGCATGGCAGAATTAAGCAGCTTTCTCTTTGTGGCTATAAAGGAATTTGAGTTAAGGCAAGTTGATGGAGCACTTGTCCTTCCAAGCAATTGAAGGAGTTTGCCCCAGAAAGACTAAAAGAAGGGTCAAGTTGTTTTGTTATTGAGATACTTGGGGTTGGGGAAAGAAAGAAAAAGCACCAATGTTTTTACAGGATGAATAAACAGAGAAACCAGATTGTGGGGTGGGGTGGTGATGAAGGATGACGCAAATGAGGGGTATTATATCAGCTTGTTTCCCAATCGCACCTTTTGGACGCTACAACCAATGTGAGCCTCCAAGTGCTGTGATTATTGGGGCCTGCATTGGAAGGGGAGAAAGTAAACAAGACCTCGGGCACCATAGTGCTTTCATTACTGTCTGCTGTTTATTTTGCAGCTGGGAAATTACAGTGGGTAGAAGAATCTCATAAAGGAGTTGGATCCTTGCAGTGGTGAAAGGATAGTCAGTAGAGCCTGTATACACTCGGAGATCTCATGGCAGACTAAAGGGCAAAGGCTGGGGTAGAGAGGAAAAGCCAAATGGAAATCTGCACAAGGAAGCATGAAGAAATTCCGCAGAGCTTCAGCAGCGTAGACGGAGAGTGACTGTATGAGCAGCATAGCCTTACTATTTCTGTGGATGGGGTCTGCTTTCCCAGAGTTGGTAGCTCTTACTGTTATGTAGCCTTTTATTTGTTAATTTTTCATGCTTTCTTTCAAACAGCATCTGACTCATACTAGGATCCTTCCATGTGCGGCAGCTGCACATTTTCATGGCGGCCTCTGCACATTTTTCTTTGAAATGTTCTTGCTCAGTGATAGGGTCAAGAGGCCAATAGCCAGAATGTGTTCAAGGATAAATGGTTTTCCTTGTAGTGGTGGAAAAAATGCAAAGGATAAAAACCAGGTGGGGGCAGAACTGAAACAATGGGTGGTTAGCCCTCTCCTACGAAATTTGAAGGTTCGGGCAGATTTGTGATTACCTTCACAAAGTTATGATCATTTGAAATAATCCCCACAACTGGGGCATCTGGGTGGCTCAGTCAGTTAAGCATCCAGTTCTTGATTTCAACTCAGATCATGATCTCAGGGTGGTGAGATCAAGACAGGCTCTGCACTGGGCTTGGAGTCTGCTTAAGATTCTCTTTCCCTCTCCCGCTGCCCCTCCCCCCCCAAAAAATTAAAAATCTATTTAATAAAAAAGAAATAATTCATACAACTGAAAAATTGTTCATGCAGTAGTAATTACTTATATGGTTCTGAGCCAGTGCAATGACTTCTCCTGGGGCAAAGGAAAACACTGTATGTTTTAGATGGAGGAGGACGAGGAACAAGAAAGAGAAGAGAGAGCCATCACCACATCATTCGTGTTAGAGGTGCATTCAGGTTTGGAACGACAACTCTTGATTGCTTTAGACACATTTAATTCAAACATCTAGAACTTTGTTCCTTTAAGTGTGGACTTTGGAGATCTGGGGAGACAACAAGAATACACAGCCAACTGTGTAAAAGGCTGTACCTTGAGCTCAGCTGATAGAAATCTTTGAGCCCCGTTATTTTCTGATTTCCTTAAACTTTAGAAGAACTTCAGACTTCATGTTCCAAGCTATACTCCCTTTTGCGCTGGCTATTCTGGGCTAGTCACTAGCGTCTAGAGAAATGAATTTAGTAATGATTACTGTTGACCATTTCATTTTTCCAAAAATCCCATGCAGCATCCTGAGTGAAGAACTAAAACAACGATGACTCCCTGGGGTAAATTCCTGTTCTAAAACCAGTCCTACATGTGGAACAAAATATTAGAATTAAATTACGGTGTCCACTCTGCTCCCATCACCACCAACAAAGAAACTGTTTTGAGGAATGTGTGGGTATGAGGAAGGACAGTGGTATTGTGTTATGTTAATAACCATCATGCTGTGCAAGAAAGTACCCCAGGAATTGCTTTTAGCTTTCCTAGATAATCTAACCTCTTGTTAGATTAGCAGCTATACAGGAGAATATCTGATAGAGTCTAGTAAAAATCCTTTCCAAGCCTTCATAATGAAGGAGTCCCTGTCGTTACATAGTGTCTGCTAGTTTAGGGATTCCATTTCCGGTCACGGTTGTCCCAAGATTGATCCTGAGCACCCAGGAGCGCCTCTGCAGATACTCCCGTTGGTTCACCAAGGCTTCAAATGAACGTCTCTCCAGTGGTTTACGTCCTAAAAGTGTCTGCCTTTCTCTGTCACAATTCTTAACGGCACAAGATTTCATTTTACTTTTGCTTTTGCAAAACTCCTTTTGCAAAGGACCCGCCATTTGGATTTTAATTTAGAATTTCTTTTTACTTTAGGAAAGTTGATCTAAAACAAAAGTAGTCTTCTCTAAATCAAGTTTTTCCCAGTAAATGATATCCATCTCCCTGAACATACTCCCAAACTCCCAAAGAAATTATATTCCCCTTCTCTCATCTCTTTGCTTCTGTGTGCAAATGTTATTAACGGGTTCTATTGGATTCTTTAGCTGGTGTTTAAAGTTAAAAGCGGAGCCAGGTGAGATCATAAAAGGACTGGAGAAAATGGTGTTTGCTGTGACTGACTTGGACTCCTCGCTCTTCATCTCTTGTGTTCAGTCTTGCGTACATGGGGAGGGCATGGGTTAAGGCCATGACTGTGTAGGGGACACATCAGGTTAAGGACTCTTGATTATCCAGACCATTTTGCCCTCTGTCCACACACCGTGGTATGACCCTGAGGATGTGGGATGAAGGTGAGACTGTGATGTCAAGAGAGGGGGGTACTAATGCATTAAGATATTAAGAAGAAGAACTTTTGTTGATTGGGTTAGAGGATAAAGCTGAATCCTCCCAGCAGCCCTGAGAGGTAGGTGGTATTATGCCCATTTGACAGATGAGGAAACATGGGCTTATGTTAAGAATCTTGCCCAAGTTCACACAAACAGTGGGAGCTTGGCGCAAAGCCGAGCTTGTCTGATTTGAAACCGTGCTCTTGAATTGCTGTCCTGTGCTGCATGTAATTTATATTGGTGGGAAGAGGGTGTCTGTATGTGCACATATGTGCATATGTATGCACTTTAAACATGGAGGAAGGCAGGGGAGCCTGGGTGGCTCAGTTGGTTAAGCATCCAACTCTTGGTTTCGTCCCCAGGGCATGATCTCCTGCGTTGTGGGATTGAGCACCGCGTCCGGCTTCCCATTCAGGGGGGAGTCTGCTTGAAGATTCTCTCCTGCTGCCCCTCCCCCTACTCGTGCTCTCTCTCTGTCTTCCTCTCTCTCTCAAATAAATCTAAAAAAAAAAAGATGGGGGAAAGCATTTTGGTATAATCTCCACTCTCCACTGTGGTAGGGTCCCAACATGGATCCTTATACGTTATATTCCCCAAGAGGAATAAACAGCTAAAAGATAGGACAAGATTGGAGAGCTGACCCGAGTCAGGCATAGATCACTGTCTGGGTGCATGCATATGTGGTGCATTGTTTCACCTCTTTTAATTCTTGCTTTGTCTCTGTACATTAAAGGTTCAGTTATCCATGTTAATGGAGAGAACTCAGATGTGAATAACTAAAGAACCAGGAATCTAAGGAGCAATTCAGTAGCAGTTTGCCATTTATATGTGGATTGTTTGTGCTAGATTTATTTCCCTAATCTGTTTGTTTAGTCATCCCAGAATAGTAATAGATGGGCCTGTCCCAAGAGCAAAGATCTAAGTGGATTATTCACAGGGGAATACAGACAGTTAATTCGTAAGGAAAGGCTTTTGATTTCATTTAAAAGCATAGCTTCAGACTGCTGACACTTTTTCTTTTTTTCTCCTGAATTCATTTAGAACTTACGCTGTCAGGAGGATAAGAGATGCCTTCAGAGAAAATAAGAATGTAAAGGATCCTGTAGAAATTCAAGCCCTAGTGAATAAAGCCAAAAGAGACCTTGGAATAATTCGTCGACAGGTAAGATGGTTCGATGATGTACTGTCTTTCATTAAGAGCTGTAAACTTTGACATATCCCCCTTAATTGGACATCACTGCTTTTGGTGTTTATGATTTATACCACAGGGTCATGAAACTGTTCCTTTTATTCATATAGACACAGAAAGATGACCTATCATATTACTGAACTCAAGGAGAACATAAAGGAAAATATCAGCTTTCCAGAATCTCAGGGAATGCATCCTTCTGGGGAGCTGTATTCTCATCGTTTACTAAAGGTTGATCTTTAAATATGAGAAACTTTTAAAAAAAATGTTGCCCCTTTCTAAGATATATTTACATATTTATGCGTTGACATATGTCAAAGAACGTAAATATATTCTACTTTGCCTAGTATTTTAAAATCATAATTCAAGGTGTTGTTGCCCTTTTCTTGGAGACATGATCGTTGGTGAGGAACCTGAATTTTGTTGCCACGTGGAAGGTGTATCTGCAGGTGCAAATGATGTAAGGCACAGCTCCTTGGCTACTGACCCCATAATGGACCCTGGAAGGTGTGTTTGTCTTTGTCTTGTAGAAGTGCCAGGGATCACCTTGATTTGTGCCTGCTGTTCTCTTTCTCCGGAACATCTGCAGCAGCATGGTCTCCTGGGTAGTGTGATATGTCCCTCTTTCTGCAAAATTAGAGAGTCAGAGGCCAAGTAGCCTACTCTCGGTTGGTTTTCTCACCCTCTAAAAAACTCATCCTTTTCACTATTTTTCTTTGATTTAGCAACAGTCATACCATAAGCTCCATTTCTGCTTCCATTCGTTTCTCTTAGTTGCAGTAAATTTGTTTATAAAGTATGGAAGGGAAGTCCCTTATGATTTCCCTCAGTTCTGCCTAGTGTTTTTGGAAAGGGCTTATTTAGCATCATCAGGAGATACCAGCTCAGCTGACGGTATATCATATCATACTATATGACATATATATGCAATTATATATGTATATATGTACACATATATCCCTAACCCTTCTTCATGCTTCACTCTAAACGATTCAGAAAAAGAAGCAATATTAAATACTGTAGTTTTCTCTTTATGTCAAATTCAGAAGTTTTGCAATGTAATGAAACAATCCCTTCTAGAATAACTTTTTGGATTCTGATAACCCTCCTTGAGTTCTCCAGTTATCTATCTAGCAACAGAATAACTTTGCCACATTCAGATAAGCCTAGGAAATGATCTTTAAGGAAGGCCATGAGAAGATAATAGGATAATCAGAAAAAGAAACCGATCTGCATATTTGCGTGTATTTTGATAGTGGCAGGTAAATGAGTTGACATTTTGAAAACTCTAGGATGATGGCATTTTCCAGGCATCAGTGGTTGAATTTTATGGGCTCCTTTAGCACTGGAACTTGGAAAAAAACAAACATCCTGAGTCCTTATTTCGCATAAACTCAGATTCAGTTCTTTGGCACTTTCTGATGTAGACGTTGGCAAGCATCTCCCAGACTGGTTTTATCCTTTAGCATAAAGTTGCACAGAGTAGAAAACTGCTTAGAAAAGGTGCCTGTAAGTATTCTGTGCCACCATTTCTTCTGTTATGTAATTGTCTGTGTCACCTCCTGGTTTGAAATGCTAACACCGCCCTTTCAAAAACAAAAAGATTAGGGGCGCCTGGGTGGCTCAGTCGTTAAGCGTCTGCCTTCGGCTCAGGTCATGATCCCAGGGTCCTGGGATCGAGCCCCGCATCGGGCTCCCCGCTCGGCGGGAAGCCTGCTTCTCCCTCTCCCACTCCCCCTGCTTGTGTTCCCTCTCTCGCTGTGTCTCTGTCAAATAAATAAATAAAATCTTAAAAAAAAAAAAAAAAGATTAGACTGGCTCTCTTCAGACATCCCCAGTGAATCTGCACTCAAAACAGACTCAAACCTGCAGCCTCTGAACCTGTGGGGGCCAGGACGCCCTCCCCAGGACAGCCTGGCAAGTGCATCTTCCTTGCCAGTTGGGGAACAGGTGGGCCTACTTTCAGGCCCAGGGCCCTTCGCCAGGAGAGCAGCAGATGATTAGAACCTTAGAAAGGTTCTGACAAATGAAAACATTCCCATTCCATCAGAGAACTCAGCCAATTACAGGTCAACACCTGGGAAGTTCCGGCTCACTTCCCTTTCTTGTTAAGACTTCCTGAATCCAGGTGTCACACTTACTGTAGTTAGCTTATGAGATGTTAATGACTCCTCGAGCTGCCTTGCTCCATGCTGGTATGAGCTGACCTTGGCCTAAAGGCCTGAAGTAAAGCAGTGTCTCTATTTTCTTCTCACTGGCTGCTCTCATAGCCTTCTAACATGCCTCCCTGATTTCCCCTCCCTGCATGATCTATTCTCCACATACTGCCAGAGTGATCTTTTCTTAAAAGGAAAATTAGAGCAGGTTTTACCCCTGCTCAAAACCCTCCAGAGGTTTCATAGCACCATGGCAATAAAATCTGAAATCCTTAAGAAGTCCTCAGAGGCTTTCCACTGCTCATGGCTCCCTCACACTTTCAGATGCCTTCTTGATGTCCCTGATATACCCCAAGCTTGTTCCCATCATGGAGGCTTTGTACCCTCTGCCTGGAATACTCTCTCCCCAGACCTTCCCATCGCTCAATTCCCTTTTTTCCCCTCAGACTTCTATTCCGATTTCACCTTCCCGCAGAGGGCTGTCCTGACCACACTGTCTGAAATAGCCTTCCTTTTATCACTCTATCCCATTCCCTGCTTTGGTTTTCTTTATAGCATTTCTCAGTCCTGAAAATAACATCACGTATTGCCTTGTCTGTTTTATCCTCCTCCGTGAGGATAGGGATCTCCCCTGTCATGGTCACAGTGCCTGACTGGCCAGAGCATGGGCTCTGGGGCCAGCCTGCCTATGTTCACATCCTGACTCAGGCTACTAACTATGTGATCTTGAGCCAGATATTTAACCTCTTGGTGCCTAATATAAAATGCAGATGAGAACAGGCCCAACCTCATGGGTTATGGTGAGCATCAAGTAAATTAATACATGTGAAGCCCTTCAAAGGATGCTGGCACATAGTAAATACTTGCTATTATTGTCATCAGGAGTATCTAGAAAAGCCCCACCTACAGTGGGCTCTTAATAATCCTCTGTGGACTAAAGGAATATATGAAGATATATTTGGCCCCTGGGATCATACATCTCAGGCATGGGGTCTGAGCCACCAAATCATGGTATCTTGCTAGCCACCCAGAACCTCTCCTCAAAGAGAATGAGTCATGAAGGTAAAGTGGAAACCTGATGAGGCCCTTAGCCTCTAATCTAATGAGACATAACCAGCATGAGCTGTAATACCCTTCCTATCAGATCCCTCTTCCTCTTGCATACTGGGACCCAAAGACCATCCACCCAGATGCACGTCGATCTCAGCATCACTTCTCCATGGATGAGAAAGCCCCGGTCATCTTTGCAGCTGCCAGATAATGCACATCTGTAAAGGCAATGCTCAAAGTAGAACCCTCCACCCGACTTCCCTCTCGACACAGTTTACCTCTTCCCTGCTTTCTAGTCTGTCTTTACAGTGGGTCTTGCTCTCTACAGACGTGTCTTCAGTCCCTTCAGTCAGCTGTGACTCTGACAATACAACTGTGCACGTGGTAAGATTGTGAGTTTTCAAAGAAGTCTCTGAGCAAAGATTTTCTTCTGGTTTTTTGGGGTAGAGAAACCAAGGTGCAAGCTGGATGCCTTGTCCATGGCCACATGGCCAGACCTGAGCTTGGAGGAAACTCAGAAGTTCAAGGACATGAGCTCCTGAGTCAGTAGAAATTGAAGGATAAAGATATTCTTAAGTCATTCCCCAATTTCGTACCCAAGATATGTAAGGACCACATCAACCCAGCTCAGCCTCTCCTCAGAGGTCATTCTTCCTTTGTATTTTTTGCGCAGAATTTTGTCTTCATTGTGGCAACACTGAAGGGTTCTACCTAGCATTAGTATTTCCCATTTGCCTTTCATACCGCTCCTAAGGATTACTCTGATTTCAAGAAGTAATATGGCAGATCATTTTTCCTCCATTATGAGCAAGTCAGACTCCTTTTGCTCACTCTATAATTATGGCCCACTCAATAGAAGCCTGGCAAACACTTGTTCTTTCTTTGACATTCTTAGACCAACTCTCCCCTGAAAATTATAATCCAGTCTGTCAGTCTCTAATCTCTTTCCAGCTACAAACATCATCTCATAGCCCTTAACTAGCAGAGGCATCCTTCCACCTTTCTCTAAATTCCTATTATGTCCAAGGGTACCTGGGTGGCTCAGTCGTTAAGCGTCTGCCTTCGGCTCAGGTCATGATCCCAGGGTCCTGGGATCGAGTCTCACATCGGGTTCCCTGCTCCGCGGGAAGCCTGCTTCTCCCTCTCCCACTCCCGCTGCTTGTGTTCCTGCTCTCGCTGTGTCTCTCTCTGTCAAATAAATAAATAAAATCTTTAAAATAAATAAATAAATTCCTATTATGTCCATATAAAATGGTTCTGTAAAGACAGATTGACCCTGGCAGCTTGTATGAGTATTTCCTTTCTGCTGAAAGCAAGTTATGGACCAGTCCCCACTAAACCTAGCTTCCCTGTCTGCTTCCCAAGTGGGATCAAAAAATTGGAGAGGCCTGCACCGCCTGGGTGACTCAGTCGGTTAAGCATCTGCTTTCGGCTCAGGTCATGATCCCAGGGTCCTGGAATCAAGCCCTGCATTGAGCTCCCTGCTCAGAAGGGAGCCTGCTTCTCCATCTCCTTCTGCAGCTCCCCCTGCTTGTGCGTGCTCTCTCTCTCTCTCTCAAATAAATAAATAAAATCTTAAAAAAAAAGAAAAAAAGTTGGAGAGGCCTTTTGTGTATGTGCCAGGAAGGATGCACAGAAGCCGACCTGTGTATAGGGTTGGGCAAACCTCTTTCACACAATCTGGGCAGCAAAGAAGTACCTAAGTACTCCCTACCTCAGATAGTAAACAAGGCCCCTTGGGTGTTTCGTATCAGAAAGAAGAGCAAA